AAGATTTCTTTCCCCAACAACTAGATGAGAATCTGATGTGTTGAAAAGTAGTGCCTCAGTAAGGATAATTTTAAACTAAAATACACATCTATTCATTTATTCATCCCTTAAACAATTATCCACACCATAGTCACAGAACACACACAGACACAACTTTAATTTGATTATATCAGAAAGATGATTAGATAAAATTAAAGGATTGATATGTTTCTGTGGTAGGAGTCACTAAGATTTTGAAGTTATTTCTCCTTTGTTGTGACTGCTCTTTGAGTTCCTCAAAATTTTTAAATATAACTAAATGCTAAGTTTTAAATTATAGAATTTGAATGTGTCACTAAATTTTTAAGTTGAACTTTTATTCTAAAACAGTACTAATATCAAAGATAATTACCCAGGATGTAGCTCAGTAGCACAGAGCCTGCCTGGCAAGTGTGAGATCCTGATTCAATTCCACGTAAGACCCCAACCTCAAAAAATTAAATAAAATAAAATCATATTTTCCCTGATTCTAAACTCTCATCTAGCTTTCATAAAGCTTTCCTGAGTTTGTATTAATTGAATCAGTAAATATAGTTGATAACAATTGTTTCAGAAATTGTTTATTTCTACCAGGTCCTGCTGTGCCGGCCCCACCCCCTGGGGCATGCTGAGAGGGCAATTGAGACTGGGCATGGTGGTGCATGCCTGTAATCACAGCACTTGGGAGGCTGAACAAAGGCGGATCACTAGGAGTCTGATTAGTAGTGAGACCCTGAACACCCTGTAGATACTTCCCTAAAATACAAACAAACAAAAAAATGTTTTATTTTTAAAAAAAGAAAGTGTATATTTCTAAGAAATGATATTTTGTCCATGGACACAAATAAGAGACATGACAATTGAACAAGAAGTAAGAAAGTCCTCAAATGTTTAATAAAAAATGCTCTATTTTATTATGAAACAGAGTCTAGGGGGAACTAACCAGTTGGGCTCCCCTCCTGTCCCTCTCTTGGACAGGGGCTTTCTTTCCCTTAACAAATATATTCTGCTCATAAAACAAACAAACAAACAAAAAAGCCAAACACAGTCTATTCAAATGGCATGCCTTGT